AGAATATATATGTTCCATAAAGCTGTCATAAAGTACTACTAGTGAGGTGGCTTAAAACACAAGGAATTTACTGTCTAAGTTCATAATTTTGTACTCAAGGTATCCATAAGGCCATGCTCCCTCTGAAGGCTCTAGGGGTAGATCTGTTCCAGATCAGTCTCCTAGCTTCTGGTAGGTCCTTGGCTTGTGGCAGCAAAACTCGCATTTTGGCATTCTCCTGGTTGCACATGTTTCTCTTCATGTGGCAATCCTTTGAAAAAATAGCAGTCATATAGGGGACACCTATTCCAGTATACCTCGTATTACCTAACTACATTTACAGCATATTAACAGCAACCATATTTTGAAATGGGATCCCATTCTGAGGCACTGGAGGTTGAACTTCAAAATATTAATTTGAGCCCTGCTTAGAGTTGCTCAGTTGTTAGAATGTCAACCTGTGCACCAAAGGGTCATAAGTTTGATTACTAGTCAAGGGCACATATCTAGGTTGCAGGTCCAATACCCAGTCCTAGTCCTATCATGTGTGACAGGCAACCAATTGATGTGTTTCTTGCACATCAGTATTTTGGTCTCTCTCTCTCTGCCACTCTCTCTCTCTGCCACTCTCTCTCCCACAGTCCCTCCCTTCTGCTCTCTTTAAAAAATCAATGCAAAAAATATCCTCATGTAAAGATTAACAAATATATATATATATATATATATATATATATATATATATATATATATATATACCAGTGCCCTGGTGCATGGATTCATGCACATTGAAAGGAAATTAATTAGAAGTGTCTGGTGGGGTGGCACTGGGCAAAATGGGCCAAACATGCCCTGAGCAAACCTCCAGTGATTCCTTCCTGGCCAGCCACACCTGGGGCCGTGCAGTTGCTCAAAGGGAGTGAGCAGGGTCCCTCCAGCAGATGGGGTCCCTCTGCCTGGCTTGTGGGGATTGGGCCAAAACCAGCTCTCCACGGGGTTCTGTATTGCCAGAGGGCAGTTCTCAAGTGATTCTATGGAGGCAACCTCCAGAATTGGGCTCCCTCCTCTATGGTTCCAGGGTGCATCACGGGAGAACTGTAGCCACCAAGTCATTAAGTGTTAAGGGTCTTCCCCCTTTGTTTTTTGTTTGTTAGTTTGTTTGTTTTTTGTTTTGTTTGTTTTGTTTTAAAAATATATTTTATTGATTTTTTACAGAGAGGAAGAGAGAGGGATAGAGAGTTAGAAACATCAATGAGAATCATCGATCAGCTGCCTCTTGCACACAGCCTACTGGGGATGTGCCCTCAACCAAGGTACATGCCCTTGATGGGAATCAAACCCAGGACCTTTCAGTCCACAGGCTGATGCTCTATCCACTGAGCCAAACCAGTTTCAGCAAGGGTCTTCCCCCTTTGTGGATCAGTGCAGATGATAGCTACCAGTTGGACAGTCAAACAGTTGCTTAGCCATATATTAATTTGATGAGGGAGAGAAGACCCAATCAAATCCAAAACAATATTCCAAAGAAATAAAAGATGAGCACAAAGAGTTATCTCTAAAATGATGTTCATTGCAGTGTTGTTTATAACACGGAAACATATTATACCTGCCCAATATATCTGGGCAATCCTTAAAAAAAACATATATTCAGAGAATACTTAATACCATGGGGAGGTATTAATAATGAAATATTAAGTTAAAAATGCAGTCATTTTGTATTATCAGTGTATAAGGTTATACACCAAAATATAAGTGGTTATTTCTTTGAGATCTGGCCTGAGAAACAAAGGTCTCAGCTCTGGCTTTCCTGACAGGCCATCCAGATCTTGATCGGCCTGATACACATTGGCCTGGGCATCATCCTGGGGACGCTCCTGCCTGGGACCTTCATATCTGTCTCATTCTATGGAGGCAATCCCTTCTGGGAAGGCATCTTGGTAAGTAATGTCAGTTGCCCTGCAAGTGAGTTTCAGAAAGTGCCAACATACTCAGTTCCACCTTGGCAAGTGGTGTATTTTGCTGCAGAAAATTTCCAGCCAATAAAGTACATGGGCTTCTTTCTAATTAGCCCACCTCAACAGAGCATGTGGGCTGTGAAACCAGCTCAGGCCTCATTCACAAAAATATTAGCCCTCTTGGGAAGCCACAGACAGGGTGGCAAAACAACAGATATTTATTAATTCATAGTTCTGGATGCTGGAAGTCCAAGATCAAGGTGTGGGCAGGGTTTTTTTTTCTCCCAAGGCCTTTCTCCTTGATGGGTAGATGACTGTCTTCTTCCTTGTGTCTTCACCTGGTTTACCCTTTGTGTGTGTCTGTATCCTCATATCTCTTCTTATAAGAACACCGGTTATAATATTGGATTAGGGCCCGCCCATATGACCTCATTTAACTTTAATCATTTATTTAAAGGCCCTATTTTCAAATATAGATGCTCTTCAGCTTATGATGGAATTATATTTCAATAACCCATCATAAATTGAAAATATCCTGAGTCTGCCCTAGCTGGTTTGGTTCAGTGGATAGAGTGTCGGCCTGCTGACTTAAAGGTCTCAGATTCAATTCTGGTCAAAGACATGTTGCCTGGATTTAGGGCTCCATCCCCAAGGTTGGGCATGCAGGAAGCAGCCAATCAATGATTCTCTCTCATCACTGGTGTTTCTATCTCTCTTTCCCTCTCCCTTTCTTTCTATAATTAGTAAAAATATATTTTAAGAAAAGTGCATTAAATACTTCACTACAGAGAATGGATGGTTTATCCTCATGATTGCATGGCTGACAGGGAGCTCAGGCTGGCTGCTTCTGTCCAGCATTACCAGAGAGTACCTTACCAATGTTGCTCACCTGGGAATGCCTTCAGTAAAAACCAAAGTACAGTTTATACTGAAGGCATATGGCTTTCACACAATTGTAAAGTCAAAAAAAATCAGAAGTCCAACTATAGTGAATCTGGAATAAAAATATACAGTCACATTTGGAGGTCCTGGGGGTTTGGACTTCAAAAGATGAATTATGAGGAGATAAAATCCAGGTAATAACAAGTGACAGCCTGCAAGGTGCCATTGCCCCTGAGTGGGCAGCTTTCTAATTAGCCTGCCTCAAAGGTAAGGAAACCTTTTCATAGTTCTTTAGCCCAGTGCCCACATGTTGTTCAAATCAGGCCCACAGCTGGAGCTCCAGGAGAAAAACATTTCCACCAGGGGATAAGAGTGGCTGCCCAGGCACAGAACAGTCATGAAGCAGTAGGGACTTAATCAATCTGGAGATCCCTAATGGGCCCAGATTCCACCATTTTGCAAAATATTTGGTATATTACATGTTTTTGTGTTTGTTTGTTTTTTTTTTCTGGAAAAGCCCACCATTTTTATCACATTCTCAGGGTGACCTAGAACCCTATAAAGGTTAAGAACAACAGATATGTTCTCTTCTCAAATGAATTGCTTTTATGATCCTTTTCCATTTTCCTTAGTGTCTTCCCTTCTACACACACACACACACTCCAATCCCTTTCTCACCAACCATTTCCTTTTCTCCTTGCTATAACAGTTTTTCTCTCAGTTCACTTATCTATAACCCAACGCAACTTTTCTCGCAAATAGAAAAACTCCAGAGTAACCTGGACATCAACCAAGTCACCATATACAATGCAATTTAAATAAATAGCCTAGAGTTGTTCCCCAACCTCATACACACAGCATCTGCAAAATGGCAGGGCTTAGATTCTGGGGAGCATTTTTGTCTGAGCACCTGCTCTCTCTTGTTCCCATTTGTTTCTCATCCTCTGAGGCCTAAATCCTCTCTCGGTTCTGCACAGACGCAGACTTGGAACTCAGCCAACCACAGACACCTGTGTGTATAACAGATTTCTGTGAAGTTTGGGGAAATGGAGAAAATACAGTCACAGAACAGTTCCTATTGAGTGTTAGATTCTCTTAAGACATCTCAAAGGCCTTGCTGGCCATCTAACCTTCCACCAGGCTGCTCAGGTCCCATCAGCCCTCATGACTTCATCCTCCCTTTTTCCTACAGGGCACTTTTGCTCTTTGTTGCCTTCTTGACTTCAGGACTATCTATTTCCTAAAGGTCATATGATCCTCCTCCAAACCAAAGGCCCTCTCCTTAGGCACCTCAAAAGGACCAGCAGGGACACCAGAAGTCCAGCCTACTGTTTCCTTCCTTACTCATCAAATCTGTAGAAATAGAAGGACAGAAGATTGGGACTAATTTTCTCACTCAAAAGAAAAATGTCATTCCTCTTAGAAGGCACAGGTGGCTAGAGTAAGTTTTCATTAGCTGCTAAAATATTTGCTGTTAGTATTAGTGAGAGAAACGGTATGCCCATGCATAAGGTGCATTAAAAAAAATGAATGCAATACAATTATGGTAATCAGTCATTAGTAAACATTCTAGTTTGTTATTAATAATTCTGTATAATAAAATATAAAAATTAAGTTACAAAAATTTTATTAAAATGGTTCTTACATACCATTATATTGTCTGGGCACAAAAGTATTCATTGTGGGCCTCATGCTGCCCATGGGCTGTGAGTTTGACATGCTTGATGTATAGGATGTACTCTGTACAGGATCTAAATGTTAGATGCAAATGACAAATTATCTCATGATAATAACACTTAAGAAGATACATAGTTTTTCCCATTTTTTGAAGAGGAACTATACACTTAGAGAAATTAATAGCTTACCCAAGATCACATGAGTTTCTGGTTAGAGTTTAAAAACTGGTATACTGGATTCTAAAATATATGTTTATCCCAATTCACTGCCCTGTCTAGTGGTGCAAAATAGCCCTTTCTCTCTTCTTTCCTTTCTTTTTCCCTTCCTTCCTTCCTTCCATCCTTTATTAATTAATTAATTAATTAATTAATTTTTCCCAAGTTGAGTAAGAGATCCCAGCAGAGGATCCTAGCATGTGTGAGAGAATACGTATGTGACCAGAAGCATGGACACCTGAAGATGGGGCCCTGACCTCTGACCTCTTTATAAACTCCCTCTCTTCTGTGCCAGTTCATCATTTCAGGATCCCTGTCAGTGGCATCAGAAGAGCTACCAAGATCTTCTTGCCTGGTAAGTCACATCCTGAGACAGGCTCTCTGAATCGTGGACTCTTAGGAGAGACACACAACAAGAGAAAAAAGGTCACACACAATGCCTCCTTCATCCTTGCACCTACTAATAACCAGATACAGGGCACTGAATGTATGTTCACTCATACTCACTTAACAAGACCACATGAACCTGAACAGAGTCACAAATGGGAAAGAGTCCAGAAGATTCGGTGGAAGGAAGGGCAGCTTCAGGGTGTGGAGAGACAGATAATAACTTTAACTAAGAGGATCTTACAAGAGGAGGCAAAAAACTACCTAAGGTGCATGGTTTCCCTACAGCAGAGCACACACTCATTGCCTGCAGCACACAGAGCCCAGTGCCAGACATTTCTACAGGGAGGCCAGGGGAGGCTCCGACAAAGGAATCTTTCTAAACAAGTTCTGCGAATTAACGTGGGCAAGGCTTTGTGGTCCCCAAGCACAGGACCAAGAAAGTACCTTTGTTTCTCTCACAAGCAGGTTATCTGGGGCATGGGGCCCCAAACTGAACCAGTCCCACACCAGATTAGATCTATTTTAAAATCCCTACAGGGCATGGTTCTCTGCACAAAGACCAATTCTTGGCATGGCTCTCTGCACAAAGACCAGAATCATGGAGCATCAGAACCTGTCACATACCAGAACACTCGGGCTGAATCTTTGGGCTATTTCCTATGAAATAAACGAGTCAGGTGTTTCCTAAACATTATTCATGGGATACTTATCCTACGAGATACTTTGTGAAGATGGTTAGATAAACTTGGGAGCGATTTCTATTTAGTAGGCTCCTCTCTAGGGAATCCATAATCCTTGTTAAAAACTGAAAAGTCCTGCACAAAAGACCTATTTAACTTTGTTCAACCCAGATGTTTTCAAAGTTAGTTTACCACCAGACCTATCTTGCACAGGCTATCTCCTTACTTGCCTCAAATCTAGGGTCCCATGAGTTCATGTTATGAAGCACTTGTTTTCCTCTCTCATACTGTCCCTCTGTGTCTTCTTCAGCTGAAAGGTAGCATGGGCCTGAGTATCACCAGTGCAGTCTGCTCTGTGGTTGGAATCCTGCTCCTCATCACAGATATAGTTATCAACTCCCTATTTATCCACAATAGCTCCAATGGTATGGTAAGTATCCCTCTTGACCAATGCTCCTCTGAGCTTCACTTGAGCTATCTTTAGGAAATCATTGGAAAAGGACTGACCCTACCAAGCTTCATCACCAAACACCAAAGAAAACAGAGGTGTTCTCAGAATCAGAACAGAGTTTCAGGTCCTGTACCTATAGCTCTATTGCTGTTACTCTTTGCATGTGACTTTCCTTAGTATCACTTTGCATGCTTATAAAACATTACCTACCTTTTGCTATTGTTCAGAAAATTAGATGAAGTTATACAGATAATACACTGGTACCCACCAACCTGTACATGTACTCATATTCTCACTTTCCTGCCCATCTTCATTGTCAAAGAGGTCTGCATAGGTGTTCAGAAGAAGACGATAGTGAACATTTAGGTTTTGCAGGCCATCTGGTATCTGTTACAAGTACTCAACCCAGTGTGAAAGCAGCCATAGAAATGCATAGATGAATGAGCCATCCCATGCTATAGACCAGTGCTATAAAGTAGAAATGTAATGTAATCCTGGTATGCACCTTAAGTTTTTCTAGTCTTTGTATTAGAAAGTAAAAAAATAACAGGTGAAGTTAATCTTAATAATACATTTATTTGACCCAATAAATCCAAAATGTCACTTCATTATGTAATATGTATTAAAAACTATCAATTCAATATTTTGCATTTTGGCGGCCACATCTTTGAAATCAGTGTGCATTTTACACTTACAACACATCTCAAGTCCGAGGGATCCACTTGGTTACCAGATGGGAAATTGAAGCTATAGATGAGTCTTCATGTAAAACCAATGTCTCCTCTGCACAGCAGCCCTGTCCTCTCTGCTCAAGGTTATTACTCCATGTGTTTCTCTCTTCTCCCTGATCCCCACCTCCCTTCTACATCACTGTGGGCTATTTGCTACAGCTTTTCTATCAGCATCTGAATATACTTTTGTTTCTTTCATCTTAAAAAACAAAACAAACTTCTTTCAGTTACTTTAGCTACCACCCCATTTCTCTGGCCCTCTCTGTAGAAAAGTCCTTAAAACAATTATCTACCTCACAGTCTCCAATTCTCTTCTCTCATAATCTCATAAACCCACTATAAGCATACTTTCAGCCTCACTTCTCCAAAAGCCTCCTCTGCTCAAAGTCCGCAATCATTCTTCCTCTTTGGTGGACTCCCAGTGGCTCCCAGGCCCTGCTGCTGGTGTTCCTCACCCACACTGGTTGCTCTCTTCTCTGTCCCTTTTGCTGGTTCTTATTTCACCCCCCTTACCCCCACCCCAATTTCTCATGCTCAGTCCTCAATCTTCTTCTGTTTCTCTCTCTACTCACTGCCTTGACAGTGTCATCCAGTCTGGTGACTTGAAACACTTTCTCTATGAAATGACTCCAAATGCATAACTTCCTGCAAAACATCTCTCAAAAACTTCAGTATCTTGTATTCAGCGTCTCACTCACCATCTTGAAATGAACCTATCCAAATCTCATCTTCAGATTTTACTTCCCAAACCTTCTCACAGGTTGCCTTTTCCAGGTTGATGGCAACTGCATCCATGCATTTGCTCAGGACAAGAACTTGGTGAAATCATGTTTCCTGCACCTCCCAGGAAATTCCTCAGGGAATCCTGCTGGTTTCACCTTTGAGCATCCAGAATCCAGTCATTTTCACCAGTTTCTCAATCACCACACTGACTGGAGCCACCGCCACCTGACTTCTAATCTCAGTTCTGCCAGTGTCTGATAGGAACTCTTCCGTTCCGGCTACCCACACACTTCCGGCTTCAGTCCAGAAGAAAGAGGGCTGGACTTTGACATAGTTTAGCAAAAGAAGAGCCAAGGGAGGGAGGAGGTGCTCCAAGGTCTCAACAAGCTTGAATTAATTCTCATCAAACAATAACTATTTAAGCTACTTGAGAAACCCTTCTTCCTCATGAAAGGGTGTTTTTTATTTTATTTTTCAGTTACAGTTGACATACAATACTATATTACTTTTAAATGTACAGCATAAGGATTGGACACATATAACTTATGAGGTTACTATATACTCTATACTGTACTTTACCTTCCTATGACTATTTTTATAATTCCCCATTTGTACTTATTAATAACCTTCACATTTTTCATCCATCCCCCAGCCCTCTTCCTGTTATTAGAAAGCTTTCTTTATAAAACAATGATTTTGTTAAAAAAACAGATTTGAAAAGGACCAGCATCATTTGTAGAGACTCCTTCTCCCCATGCTTCTGTGATTCCTTGACTAAGGCATCACTATACTGCAGTTCCCTTTGCCTAGACACAAACCCCACATTTTTTGATCTTATGTTGAGAATGAATCTGTGTCCCCTTGTGCTCTCAAGCACTATTTTTGGCACTTTTATAGCTCTTACCAAGTCTTATTTAAATTATGCCTATCTCCATCTGTATCTGCCTCCCTCACTAGACTGTGCCTCTTGGGATGCTTTCTTAGCCATTTTTAGCAAACAGATGTTTAATAAGTGCTTGATAAATTGAGAGGGAAGAGAAGGAAAGTGCTAAGGAGGAATCTCTCCATGAGAGAGGATTCTCTGAGCAGCCAGCTATAGCCAAAGCCATTTAAAAAAAATCATAATTGATCAACATTTGTTTGATACCTGCCATGCACTTTCACTTTCATATTTATTCTCTCCTGTAATTGGAATCCAAATGGTTTTGAGATCACTCATCTCTTGTCCTTTCATGATTAAGGTAGATTCTACCTAAACTCTCTCCCCAGATACAGTGGGAGATCCCATTTTTCCTGAGCATTGTTGTAGAACAGAAAGGGAAGGGCTTAGATGACTCCTGGTACTCACGTGAAATCGACTACTGCTGAGTTAGTTCTATTTAGGGATCCTTTTACTGACCATTTTTCTTAAGTTAAAGACAGTTCCAATTGTTTCTCTCCACAAAATGCCATGGTCACAAGCCAGGAAGGTTGTTTCAGTAGCTGACTTTCTCTAAAGGCTTGGAGAGATGGTGGAGGTAACCATTGGAGGTTAGACATTCCAGCTTTGTAATGTCTTATTTTCTCATAAGATGCCTTTCTTTGCAGACTCCATCTTCCCTTCATGTTTCTCAGTCCCATCTTTCTCTTCTATTCATCTTCCTTTGCTCTTTCTGAGGACTGTCCATTCTCCCAAATTTCTCTTTGCTTCCTACACAGAACAGTTTTACTCATTCACTTTCTCACTCCAAACCCCATCCTTAGGTTTCCTGCCCTGTGCCTGAAACAAGTCATCAAGGTGTTTCCCTAAACAATGACTACTATTCTTTTCCCTAGAACACAGGTAATAGTGTTAAAATAATTATTTTACAAACACACTTGACCCTCACAAAACCTGGTGAAATATTTTCTCCACAAGGCTGAGACCAGGTTAGAGGACTTCTTCAAAGTCCTAGCCAAGGTCCATTGCAGAGCCATGCTTTGAGCTAGACCTCACACTCCCAGAACACCACTCATGACCTCCATGATCCTTTTGGTTCCAGGTCTCTGGAATAGCTATTTCTGCTGTGCTGTTCATCTTTAGTCTCCTGGAATTCTGCATTGCCTGCACATCTGCCCACTTTGGCTGCAAACTGGTCCGCGATTCATACAACAACGTGAGTTTGTAGGATCCTCAGTGGGTGGAAAGATGCCCCAAAGAGTATGAGGAATAATAATGTCATCTGGCTTTCCCTTCCCACGCAGGTGCACAGGGAATCTCAGAATGTGTGAAAGCCTTTGTGCATACATACTTTGCATTAACCCACCTCCTTTGCTTGTCTTTTTCAGGACACTGTGGTCTTCCAAACCGTCTATGTGACAAACCTAGTGGCCAATCCAGAATCAATGAACTCTCCACCATCTTATTCCAGTGACGTCCGGGACTACAAATAAGCCAAAGGTTCCAGAAGTATGGTTCCCTGGAACCAAAATAGAATTCCCTCTGGGCTTCTGAAACTCAGCTTCTTCCTTCTCTGACAAACTAAGGACTATGTCTGTCCAACTGTCGGCACCTGTACTTCATTCACCTTAGCTTGGGTTAATTATGCTGTTTCTCCATTTAAAAGGAGACATGACTTTAAAGTGGATTTGAGTAAAGAGGTCCTCTCTAGGACATCCACCTGTGGGACATCCAGTGCACTGATGAGCTTATGAGCTAATGAAACAAATGTCTAGACAATCCAAGCTTCATTCTCCCAATCATTCATTCACTGAATAAAAATGCACTGAGTATTTTATATGTTCAAAACTATTTATGGCAGGAAGAGGGTAAACATGGAACATGCAATTCCTTGACTTCAAGCAACTTATGCCTTACAAGAGAAGAAGAACATGCAAGCAATTTTCTTTAAAATAAGGCAGAATATGGGGATAGTGCAGAGAGATTAGAGAGGGAGATAATTTATTCTGACAGTGATGGGGAAGCAGAGGACAAGTCTGGTTAAAGAAGCAGCATTTGTTGGAAAATTAAAGGAGGTAGTGTGGTTTTTATATTGTTGTTTTTTAGTCCAATAGCAAACCACAATTTTGAGAGGACCTTTGGAGAGTCATCCACTAAAATTATTAATTTTTTATATGCTGTTACCTCCAATGCAATATTACTCAAGAATAAACATTGTCTTAAAATATCTTCCAAAGTTATGAGGCTACTGTATCTTTATTAAATAAAGGATAGTGACTCATTTAAAGAGAAATGGTTATGTCTTCTAAATTTACACACTTTCATTTGCATATTATTATCCATGATGGCCAATTGGCTCCCTAAATGTTATGTGCCAGCAAATTATAGAAATAATCTTTCAATTCTAGGTGCCATCAATTTTTCCTTTGCTACACATCCTGACAATGACTTATTTTTTATTACTAAATATGGAATATGATTTTACTTAAAAAGTATTTTTAGTCTCTGATTTTACCAAATAAGTTTCCTCTCAATAGTTTGCTGTTCATAGCTCTGTCTTTTTCTGCACCTACATCTTTTCTGACTAGAGAGCCTTTGGCTGCCCATCATCTAGGAAGGAATAGCTGATATTCTAAAGCCTCCAGTGTGTTTTCTAGAACTTAGCAGCCTTAGAAAATGACAGTCAGCAAAAAATGACAGATTGAGCAAGTAATAAGCTGGTTTAGACCAGCTCTCCACCTATCTGTTTTGTAAGCTGAGCCCAATGTTAGTACACTGCACTCCCCATAAGGGGCTGGCTTATTTGGACCATCCTTAGAAGGCTGGATTGTCAGAGTAAGTCTGACATTTTCTTCTTCTAAGGTTGCCTCTCACTGCCCCATCCAATTTGACATCTTCTCCCTCCACTGATCTCCAATCCTCCATGTTGATGTTACACTCTCTTCTCAGAGCCTTCTTCCTGACTTATTTGAACTCTGAGTTAACATAGACACTCCAGATGTGTCTTACCTCCTATATGTGCATCATCTCAGAGAAGGCATCTTCTAACACACCTGGTGCTTCTCCAGAGAGGGATACCTCCCACCTGCGCTGCTGAAATCACCATGGGGTTAGAAAAGGGTCCCTTTCTTATCCTACTACCTACTCTATTAGTTCAGTGTACTAGGCCCTCATCCCCAACGGCCCCTTCATCAACTTGGGGTGATAGCTCACAGCCTCCATCCAGTAGACAATAAAACTGTATGTTTGTTCTGCATCATCCCACAAGTCATTTCTCTGCACATCTCCCTTCTCTTTAAAACAATGACACATAGCCGAAACCGGTTTGGCTCAATGGATAGAGCGTCGGCTTGGGGACTGAAAGGTCCCGGGTTCGATTCCGGTCAAGGGCATGTACCTTGGTTGTAGGCATATCCCCAGTAGGGGGTGTGCAAGAGGCAGCTGATCGATGACTCTCTCTCATCGATGTTTCTAACTATCTCTCTCCCTTCCTCTCTGTATAAAATCAATAAAATATATTTAAAAAAAAAAACACAAAAAAAAAAACAATGACACATAAAAGCTGGAAGAGACCTTGGACTTCTATGGATACAAATGCTGAGGTAGAGAGGGCAGAAATATTCCCAGCTCAAGCCAGCTAGGAGCACAGACAAGACCAAAACTCCAGAAAGCCAGTCCAGGGCTCCTTGAAGAAGTAGAGACATGTGGTGGGAAAAGCAATGTGATTAAGGTCAGAAGACAGTTGTGTGTGTGTGTTTTTTTTTCACCTTAGCAAACACTACTCTCAACCTTATTTTCTCCAATACCTTCATTCCCCATTTCAAGGACAATGTCATCAATACCCCCTCGCCCGGCCCCATGTTGCCAAGCTTATTGGTTCTATTTCTTTTCTTTCTTGACCTCTGCAGGATTTGACCCTTCAATACACTCTTGATTTAATTTTGCTCCAGTGTCTCCACATGTCCTCCTAATTCTTCTAAAATGGCTCTTCTTTTGCCTCTTGTGCCTCAAGCTTTGCTCCCCAGTATGGCATGTCCCTTGGTCCTCTTCTTATTTTATGTACTCATTTCTAGGGGCTTGAGATTCAAATCTCAAATAAGATTGTGAGATTCAAATGTGCTAATCAGTGCACAAAAGTATTGCAAAGTATACCATTATTCAACTAGGCCTGGTTTCCAGGACCCATCATCAACTAATTGGGATTTCTTATGAAAGAGGTTGTTCTATTTCCTTTCTCATATGCTGTCACTCTTATTCACTGTAGTATTTAAAGTCCTAGCCAAAGCAATCAAATAAGAAGGAAAAAAAAGGCATTCAAATTGCATAGGAAGGAGTAAAACTGCCCTTACTTGAGACAACATACTACTCTATGTAGAGAACCCTAAAGAATCTAATAAAAAACTACTAGAACTGATAAATAAATTAAGTAAAGTAACAGAATATAAAATAAATATACAAAAATCTGTTGTATTTTTATACATCACTAGTGAACTGACAGAAAGGGAAACGAAGAAAACATTCCCATTCATAATTGATTAAAAAAGAATAAAAACCTAGGAATAAACTTAACCAAGGATGTGAAAGTCCTCTACTCAGAAAATTATAAGATACTGAAGGAAAAAATTGAAGAAGATCCAAATAAGTGGAAACAAATATCGTGTTTATGGATTGAAAGAATAAACATCATTAAAATATCCATACTACCCAAATCAACCTATAAATTCAATGCAATTCCTATAAAGACACCAATGTCTCACTGTGCTAGAAGCTGGAAGTCCTAAATGAAGGTACTGGTGGGGTCATGGCCCCTCTAAAACCTGTAGGAGAAGGAGCCTTCCTTTTGACTTCCTAGCTTCTAAAGATTTGCCTGCAATTTTTGGAATTTCTTGGCTAGTAGTTGTATCACTCCAGTCCTCCATCTTCATGTGATGTTTTTCTTACATGTCTCTACTCCATATTTCCACTGTATATGTCCTCTTATGTATCTAAATTTCCCCTTTATTAAAACAGCAGTCACATTAGAATAAGGCCCACCCTGTTGACCTAATTTTACCCCTATAAAGACTTCTTGTCCAAATAGGTCATATTCTGAGTTACTAGGGAATAGGACTCTAATATATTGTTTTTAGGGGACCCAATTCTACCCATAACAGCACTCCTCATAAAGTTCTCAAGTGATTTTTTGGACTTAGAATGTTGACCATATCTTCTGTTTTCAAAGGTGGACTCTGGTCACCAATTCTTAGAAAATAGGAAACAGTACATCTAGCCTCCTGTAGCATTATAATGACAAGAGTTAATAGGGGATAAATAATAATAATTATTGACAAGAGTTAATAGGGGATAAATAATAATAATTTATTGAGGGATTATCATTAGCTAAGTGCTGTTCTAAGTCCTTCAAATGAAATATTGTCATTTAATCCTTGAATCTACTCTGTGGGCTAAGAACTATTACTTCTGTTTTGTAGGTGAAATAAAAGCACAGAGAGATCAATAATCTTGCTATTGCTACATTGGCATTATGCCTGCTTTCAAAATAAGAATATTTCCTTCTTTTAAAAAATATATTTTATTGATTTTTTACAGAGAGGAAGGGAGAGAGATAGAGAGCTAGAAACGTTGATGAGAGAGAAACATCAACCAGCTGCCTATCGGGAATGTGCCCGCAACCAACGGGAATCGAACCTGGGACCTTTCAGATTGCAGACCAACGCTCTACCACTGAGCCAAACGGGTTTCTGCAGTATTTTCTTCTTTTAGATGGACCCCCTTCACTAGGACAATCTCCTCTTGAAATAAAGTGGCAGTCAACTTGACCGTCCAGCATTCTTCCAACTGACTGTATTTATCCATGTCAACTCAGAATAGCTTTTAAATAAAAGAGTCAGCATGTGTTCAAATTGCACTCTTTATTGAATAAAAAGGTATACCAGAAAGGACTTCATTAGAATGCATTTCTTATGAGGTTGCTTGAAAAAATTACAATTCTTCACTAATTCACAATTAATCTTTTGTTCTTGAATGAAGTCACACCAGTTCTTTATAAATTATGAAGTGATGGAGATTTGGCATTCCGACAGTGAGAAACCTGAAGTAAGGTTAAGTGATAGAAAATTGATCATTACTAAACTCTAAAATAAGAGCCTTGACCTGAGCTTTTGAGTCAAAACAAGATAAAGGAAGAACAACAAACAAACAACCATGTAAACATAGAATGTGACCAGTTAAAATCATACTGAAAAGATAGCACCTGCTTACTCTGTCTGTCCTGGGGGAGTCAAAGGCCCATCAGATCTATGGCCCATCAGAAACCAGAGATTTTGATAGATTACAATAACTATATTAAACTAAAATATTACTCTACATAAAATGACTTTACCTTTAGCTGGACTCTGGTGAATCCAAGATTCCTCTTGGCTTTTCTAACTTCATGTTCTAGGTTAGAAGGAGCAATATCTGAACAACCACTGGATTGGAGAGCTACCTGGCT